CCAAAACCCCAAAACCCCAAAACCCCAAAACCCCAAAACCCCAAAACCCCATGCAGTCGGCCGAATGTTGAATGGATAATATTTTTATTCTTGAAGCAAATCACCTTAGAAAGAATTATGGTTTTTGAACCACTGGCAATACGCAATCAGATTTTCTGCATTATATGTGTCCGCATAGGCATAGATTTCATCGAAATTATCGAAGGTCAGGATCTCACTCATTCTCTTCTCTCAGTGTAGCTTGATGTCGTTCAGCATGAAGCGATCTGCGAAGCGAAGGAACTCATGTAATTGCTCTAGAGAATGTTCCTGTCCTTCCATTTCAGCACCAAATTCGAATTCTCCGGTGTATAAGAAATGCATTATGGAGTAGAATATTGGATAGCTTACATCTTCGATTACTATTTCGTTGGTCTTACTATCCATCATCCCACTGGAGAACATTACGTGGAAATGCTCACTAATGAGTGAAAGAACTATTTTATGGGCATAAAACTTTTTCTTTTCTACAATAAAAGTAATATCTGAGTATTCTGGATCATTTATTCTAGCTCTCAGATTATCCAGCAATGTATCCTTGCTATTCTCTTTGACTTCAATTTTAGGTGCAGGGTTTGTGTCGATGATCGACATGTCCTGCAAGTAAGTTGGGCCATAACTACCTCCAATTATGTATAGTTTTGACCCAGCTAAGGTTGTTGAGTGACCAGCTCTAGCCTGTGGCTGTTTTAATTTATTAGGATCTTCTTTTGATGCAACATCCATAGCTTCCCATTTGTTAGTAAGAGGATCGTAAATTCTTAGGTCATCATATCATAAGGCTGAATGTCCAGATCCACCAAATAGCAGCAGTTTATCATTCAGATTTGTGAGAGACATCCCTGCACGAGGGGAAGGAGCATCACCATCTACGATTATCTCTGTCCAAGTTAGGGTGGAGGTATTTAGCGCAAAAAGATCATTAAGCCTCTTCGTACCATCCCATCCTCCAAAAATGTACAAATGACCTTGTATTATTGCAGATGAATGATTCGCTCTTTGAGGAGGATAATTTCCAGAAGCATCAACTTTTCTCCAAACTAGCAGGTCTACATCAAGGCAATGGAGGTCGTTGAGGTAATCCTTCCCATTACCTCCTCTAAAAACAAATATTTCTCTATCAATAGCATCTGCTGTATGCATATTTCATGGACCTGGAGATTCACCAGCAGGGGTAAGCTTACTCCATCTTCTTGACTTGAGATCGAATTCATGGAGGTCATCCGCTGCAAAAGGACCTGATCCGAGCCATCCCCCTATTATATAGATTTTGTCGTCAATAAGAGTAGCAGTATGCCCGTTTCTTCCATTAGGCTGATAATCTTGGACTTCAAGTGTTGACCAAGTGTGATTGTCAAGGTCAAAGACTTTGATAACGTTATGGTTCTTTTTGCCATCATAACCTCCGAAAACATAAATCTTATTTTCATACAAAGTTGTAGAATGGTTTTTGTTCCTCCAAGGACCATCTTTATTAGTTATTTGCCAAACCTGTTTCTTCTCTCCCTTATTTAGATTTACATTTACTTTCAAAGCTGGAATTGGTAAGGTCAGGAACTATGTATTGTTCTGTAAGTTCACTATCAGTCATACTGTCTTGCATTTCTAAAAAATATTATAATTATTCCAATTTCATGATTTTTGAATGGGGTTTTGGGGTTTTGGGGTTTTGGGGTTTTGGGG